TCTTTTTTACGCTATAACCCTATCCTGTATATATGCACTCGATCAGAAACACGTTGAGTAGAGATCGCCGAAGTCCGAACTGCATGCTGGACGACCTTGTGCAGCATCGAGTGATTCCACATAATTAAGATCACCCTAAACCGAACCGAACACGCTGCAAATAAATTAATAAATAAATAAATGCGTATGCAGCCCTTTTAGGAGTACAAAATCAATTTCGCCCAAGGTATGAATGAACGAAACTTATTGGTGTTAATTGGAGCTGCATTTGCATCATGCATGGGCGTCAATCGCTACGAACAAAGAGAAAGGGGAAAGCTAGTCTTGGTCGAACTATGTGTGCAGGGTGCTAGTTGTATTAAAGGGTCCATTAATTTGGATACAAGAGTTAATTCCTAGTTACCAAAAAAATTAGCTCAAATTAGCCCTAGCGCATCTAATAAACGAAAGGATTAACATGTGAGCTAACTAGTTAATTAACCTCAGCTAATTCAAACTAATTTTTAACGTAACTAGTAACTAGCCACAACTTATTCAAATAGACCCTAACTTAAGCTATGGGCCTACTCCCTCCGTCTTCCCTTTTTACCTCGTGTCGTTCCCACTTATCTAGGAGGCAAACGTATTCAATTTTGACTAAATGTATACAAGAGATTACTAATATTATGGTGCTTATATTTTCCATGAATCTAGCTTTTCTAGGGGATTCTATAAATCTAGTTGAATTTAATAAAGTTGGACTTACACAAAAAGAAGAGAGGCAGTAAGACGCAATTGAAAGGAGTTACCAAAGCCACCCGCGGATCTCTACGCACGTACGGGGCCGGCTGCTTAGACACTCAAACAGCAGGCAGCCCACTTGTTTGAATCATCAAACAGGCCAGGTACATCGTACATGTACTCGGCCCAAATAGCCAGGTCCATCCAAATAAATCCGCAAAGCCCTGAGCGTCTGTGCTTAATTTCTTTTAACGTGATTAGCAAAAAGAAAACATATGTCTCCAGAGCATGGCGTTTTACGGCAGCTGGCAGCCCATGGCGGGACGGCGACAAGTGTTGGGCGTATACATACGTACGTGTTGGCCTGCGTACAGCCAGCACCGGAAGACCGGAGAGCAGCAGGAACCAGCTGAATGCCTGATCTGACCGCCCTACGTACTAGCAGTAGGTAGTAGCAAATCCCAAACGGTGCACGCCTCTACTAGCGATCTGGCTATCTTGAAGCTTCCAATATTGGAGTAGAGTAGCTTCGGTCGTTTCTTTTTCACCGATCTTTGTCCCATTGTAACGGCGTGTCGATCGTCTCAGCACCATGCCGCGAGACGTGTCTTCTCACATGTGTCACAACACGTGCCACAGCCTTGCATGAATGGGCATGATGAGACCATATCTCTTGCATCCGTAGGCTGCCGAGTGGATGAGCATATATCTTGAGGCTCGATAGCGACATCAGGAGGCACCCGCAGCTCCCCAGACTCCACGAAAAAGCTAAGGTCCATCCACGCCGCAGCACTGGACCCCCGCGCACAAAGACCGTAAACTAAAGTCCCCAAATCGCCTTGTACCCGACCTCTGTCGCAATATAAAGGAATGTCGGCTCTTTAGAGAGGGGGCGGGAGAAGAAGAGTTACGTCGACCGCTTAGACATCTTGAGAGGAACAACAAAGTGTTCCTCCCCTCGGCAACCCAGTGAGAGAAGGCCGATCCCTTGCTCTCCGGGTAAGAAACCTCACTGACGACGAGCCGTAGGATAGCACTGAGTGATCTCCTACCAAACTCTCATTCTCCTTCGTTGTAACTCCCCGATTTGGGTGCTCCTGAACACGAAGAACTCCTCACTGTTAGACATAGGGCCTCGATAACCCGAACCAGAATAAACCGATGTGTCTCTCTTGTGTTCGAGTGCCCGAGCCACCGGAGCGTGACCCACACTTCCGACATCCGACGAACAACTATGCTTGCCGCGGTTTCGAACCCGTGACAGGCGGTTCAACGACGAGCAGCGTCGGGACAAGCCGTACCCAGAAGCCTGGGAGACCACGCTGGCGCTGTGGGAGAGAGGCGGGGGTGAAGGTATCCTAGGGCAGGCAGCGGCCATGGGAAGGGGTCCGGTGGACCTGGGGAAGGCCGCGGCTGACGCGCCTTGAGGGTTGGATGCGGGGCTGGTTCAGGCGGCGAACTGGGGGAGAATGGAGAGGTGGCCTGCAGGATGCTCCAGTGGGGCCGGGGGGGGGGTAGATTTAGGGATTTTTTTTCCTTTTTAGTTTTCAATATGTTTGCTATTCACAGGAAGGCGTGAATGCTAAAAGCTAGAGTGCCAACGCGAAATCAATCAAGCTATTAATTTTTTTCTGTGCGTAATTTTTGAACCGACAGAATAATTACTATTTTTCTGTGTTCCAACAAAACCAACAGGGCAATCGAAATTTTCTTGTGTGTATTGTCACACACAGAAAAATCATTGAATTTCCGTGTGAGTTTTCGTATTTTTCTATCAGAATTTTTGAAACCGACACATTAATGACTAGTTTCCGAGTGTGTATGAAAAAACGCACAAAATTTTTTGTCACCCACAGGGCAATTCATGGTTCCGGTAGTGCTAAGTGCCCTTACTGACCCCAGAACAACCTCGTTGTGTCCCTCCCCGACAGGTCTTCCGCGAGGTGTTCGGGAGTCTTCCAAGCGAAGAACGGGCATTGAATTGGCTTAACCGACTTGTTTTTAGGTTTCATGGATTTAATTTACTACCTTCTTGCTACAATCTAGTTCGTGTGTGACCTCGGACGTGCTAACCCTTGCTGGTGCTTGACCTAATTCAGCGTCAATAATATGCAAATCCAGTAAACATGAAAATATATATCCAATTTTGCCCAGTATGATCAATCCTCACGGTCACCCGTACTTGCCACCACACGACATTTAAAAAAAATAAAAATCTAAGAGCTTGTAACAAATTTTGGGTTGTTAAACGATCTCAATCGAATAGGTTCTAAACTATAACGTTTTAGTGTCGTCGACCTCTATAATTTTGATGCTAGTTTTGTTCCTCCTTCACTTCATATGAAAATGTTTTGAATGTAATTATTTGTGCATCAAATATTTGCAGAGGCAGTCCTCCTCATGGATCACCTTCAAAAATTGTTTTTAAGATGGTTTGTAAGGAGTAGCACATCTAGAAATACTCGTTTTCTAGGGGCAGTACCCAAAACAGCATGACTCAAAAAATGCCCATCGCAGGGCGGTCATTTATCTTAGTGATCGCCCTAGAAATCGATTTTCAGAGGGTCGGCTAATACTCGCTCTTTGTCTCCATTTGTTGAATTGGTTAGCTTTTCCATCAGCATCCAAGAAAAAAGGACTGCAAATCATTTTTGTAGTAATAATGTGCGAGAAATTTTATAATGGTTGGGAAAAATATGGATCATCCATGTAGAGAAATCGAATGGTGCAAAAGTAGAAGGTAACAAAGTGAAAGTACTCACAAGTACCAATAAAATGGAGAAGGTACTTAAATCGGTGGGACCACTATCAAAATAGGTCGGACCAAATTCCAATTTTTATTTACCAATTAAATTTGGTAAAGGGTAAAATAGTGATTCATTGCCCGTGTTTTGCAACCCTGCTTGTTAGCTCAAACCAAGGTTCTGGGATTCATTTTGGAAAAAATTTCGGTCCCAACCGAAATGGACGAATTTCGGGAAATTTCGGTCCAATTTCGGACTCAATTCGGTGAAATTTCGAGATTTGAAGCACAAAATTCGTTTCGGACCTAACCGAAATGGACGAATTTCGCCGAAATTCGGACTGTCTCGGTCGAATCCCAGATCCTTGGCTCAAACGCGCAGCTGATCGTGAGCTTCCTGTGGTCAGAACTATTCCTCCATTGAACGGAAATGTGATGGTGAGAACACAGAAGCCATGGCACCCCTGGCCCCAGCTTCTCAACCTTTTCTCTCTCACCCGCAACACCTTCCTGTGGTCAACGTCGAGCTCCAGAGCTTGCTTTTGGTTCGCCGAAGTGTGATAGAGGCAACGCCGATGCTCAGGTCCAGCACCCAGCAAGCCAACGACAAAGGCGGAAGCTCAGGGTGGCCTGCTCGGCGCCACTGTCGCTGCAGCTGTGATAACGAGCAGCTGAACGACAACGCTACCATATCATGTTTTATCAGTGGGGGTTCTCCGGGAAGTGGAAGCGGGACGCTCGTCGCCGTCGCCGGACACTCTCGGCAACAGTGCTGGGCGACCTATAGAGTCCTGGACGACCCAGCGACGGCGAGGGCAATGGCGGGCGTGGCGGTGCGTGCGGCAGTCGACAACGGCGGTTCGAGATAGGGGAAAAAAAAAACGACGTCCCGCGTAGGGAAATCATGTGGTGTGTAGAGACCAGACATACAGTTACCAATATGCCCTCGAGAATGAAATTCAAACTTCATAAATAATCTCTCTCTATTAAATGCCCAATAAATAGGAAAAATAAAAGTACTTAGAAGTACCATGGTACCTTTTCAACCATTGTAAAAGAGCTCGTAATGTACATGGTACATCTTTTATTGGCAATGTTTAGCTAAGTGACAACAATGCTATAAATACATGCCTTTCTGGGCGACAGATGATACAGAACTAAATTACAAGTTGGGGATAGAACTATCATGCATAGTGACGAAGATACACAATGAAAGTTTTCTATTTTATCTACAAATTAAACAGGATGCATGGGCTGATACTTATTACTAGTAATGACTACATCATCAGAGAACTGAACTAGACGCAACCATGTGGGTATATATACGATCTAGTTGTCCTGGCGATAGGCATTCATAGATGCATATGCTGAATTTTTTGGGATGAAAAGCATAGGGCATGTATCTATATATGTTGGATTGAGAGAAGACTGGACAGAGACACAGGGTAGAAGAGAGAAGAAAATGAAGAGCTACTGACATGTAGTCCTGGAAACGCGAACGGGTGGTAGAGGCGATGGACATCACGGGCTCAGGCGCTCAGTGGCCATCAGAACGAACCTTGTTCACCTTCAAAACAGGCATCACTTCCTTGGGGTGCTGTTTAAGTTTGCTCTGCAAGTGTTGCTTCACTTGGTCATCAAAGGAACCACTAAGTGAGACTTCCCTGAGATCGCCTAGCTCATTTAGCCCAGAAAACTCCAAGGATGACACATGATAGCAGGGGATTTTGAGGACCTCAAGCCAAGGCATTACACCGGACTCAAATATGACAGACTCTAATCTGGAGTTGCAACCAACCTCGAGGACCAGGAGTCGGCAGAAGCATCCACGTCCTCTGAACCGGAGCTCTCCATATTCAAAGTCCTTGGGATAAAGACATAAAGTCTCTAGGCTTGGTAAAAACTTGAGGATATTAACATCAAATTGCGTTATCTTGTCCATCTGCAATTTCAATTTTGTGAGATTCGACAGCTGCTTAATCCATTCTGGCAGCTTGCCTAAATACCCATACAGCTTAAGGCTCTGTAGTTCCTCCGGGGAGGGAAATGCCATCCAAACAGCCAGCCTGATTCTTGTCGAGCCACATTGACAAGGATTTCAAATGGGGGTGACCTGAAATGACAGAACACAACTCCTTGTGGTTGTCCAGCTTGATGCCAGAGACTCCAAGCTTGCGCAATTGGGTAAGGTTCTTGAGCTCTTCCAGGATTGCCCGCCCGCTTGCAACACTAACGTCGATGACACTGATATTATGTAAGGCCATCATTTCCCCAATCCCTCGAGGCGCCTCAACGCCACCATTACAAGAGCCCGAAAAAATCCGCTGGCCACGGCCTGCGCAAAACTCTGGCAACCGGATCCGGCAAACCAGAGTAGAAGCTCGAGGCCTGCTCGATGCCGATGACACTGATCCTTCTGCTGCTGATGGTGGTGGTGGTAGTGGGCTTCCAACAGTGCTGGTGTTATCCAGTTGTACAGTAGTGCCAGCACGAATGTGCTGCAGTTTCTTTAGCTTGGTTATGCTTGGTGGAAGCTTGACAATGCAAGTGTGTCTGATATCCAGAGTCCGGAGCTGCCTCATCCGGCGACCAAAGGAATCCGGCAGACGGGTGATCTCTTTGCATCCTCTAAGGGAGAGAAACTTGAGGCGAGGCAGCAGCTTCACCATCTGTTCGAGGTCAGCATCTGTTACTGACGATGCATCCTCCAGGTCCAGCACCCGGACTATCCTCATCTTGTCAGAGATGAAGAATGACTCCCACTTACCAAAAACTGTCAGTGACCGAAGCCGTGAGAAGTCAATGCTCTCGTACACACTAATGTCTCTGTCCCAAGTATTCTCTATGGTGAGACGACGTCCAGTGCGTTGCAAGTTCACACTGCAGTGTCCCTCTAATGCAAATACTAGGTTCTCTTCCATTGACTGCGATTTGATGTATTCCCGGAAGAAACCGTTAACTTTACACGAGGGCATCCTCATCGAGTAGGACAGACTTGTCGATCCTGGCAACTGGATCATGGATAGCTCGCAGAGGTCGACAAAGGATTTCTCCCCTTTCTCCTCCGCGGTACTTTCTTTGGTGGCCGCGGAATAGCCCTCAGCCATCCACCGCCGCACCAAACGCCTCCGCCGAATCTTATGGTTCACAGGGAATATTGATAGATAGAAGATACATGGCTTCAGCGAATCTGGGCAGGTATTGAAGTAGGAATTCACCCAGGCAAACAGATTTCTTAAACTGCCAAATGCTTGGTTAGTCTCCAACTGCTGCATAAAGTTATCCAAGTTGCTTAGTCCCCGTCCGTCGCCAATGAAGTCACCCACAGCAACTATCACTTTGGGAAGTCCACCGCACTTGTGTAGGAAAGATTTTATTCTCTCAGTATCATCGGGGCTCAGCTCACGGCGTCCTTCGGCGGGCCGATTCCATTTAGCTTCGACCTGTCGTCAGATGAATTTAAGGACACGTGTTAATATATACAGTCTATCAACCCGTGCTCTCGCACGGGCTACAATTTAGGAGAAATAAGTATTAGGTAATGTTTAATAATCTCTTCATTGCAAATTATAAGATATTTTTGGCTTTTCTAGATATATTATTTTTACAATGTATCTAGATCGTACATCTACGTGTATAGTAAAAGTTATGCATTTAGAAACTCAAAACATCTTATAATTTGGAATGAGAGAGTACATCGATTTGACTAATAAAGGATTACTTATACTAAATTGTATATTTATTTTCTAACATAGTAGACATAATAGATACTCTATAGTCTATATCTAGTTATCATAAACTTATTAATTACTATTTTTAAAGAACTAATTTATATATTTTTCATCTATATTCATATTTTTTTTGCATGGCTGTTCTATATATTTTAAATATGCAATTACTTTGAAACCTTACTATTAATAATGGTGGCTCTTGTTGCATCATATATCTTATGAAGTCATGAATTTAAATTTTGATTTTTCAAATTTTATTCTTATCGACTACTATAAATTTTTTCTCTCCTCAAGTTAAGTTGAAACTCTTGTATTTATTATATATTTCATTAACTCTGCTTTTTGCACTTTTCAAAAAAAAAAATAGGTCATAGAGTATGTTCTTAAGTTCTACAATAACACAAGCCATTATTTGAAACATGCACCTATCGCTTAAGATAAGTCATAGAGCTTGAAGTGAGATCCCGGACCGGGGTACCAGTGCTAACAAGAGAATTTTAATACTTATTAAACCTTATATTGATTGCCTTTTTTACTCTAAAGTATTCTTAAAGGCCTAGAAAAATATAGCCACCAGTGGTCTCCCAGACTTCTCAATTGAATTTTACTATCAAGGAATTATATTTGCAGTTATGGTTATACTATCAATATAGACATATCAAATATTTTAGTTAAAATACATAAATATATCTAAAATAACAATCTATATAAGTTATATGTTATGGTTACTAATATGGCTTTATAAAATTGTTAGCATCATTAGTATATAAGTTATTGAGAAATATTTCTTACATGATGAAATATAACATATGTATTTTATTTCTCATGCATGTTAGCGCTATACATATAATTACTTTAATTAAATCTTACTATATTAATATTGATAGAGGTGGGGTAATGTAGAAACATATATATGTTCTATTTGTTATCTAGACTTTTTTGTAATAGGAGATGTTGATAATATAGATGAAAAATTGAGGGGGTATTTAATTTTTCTAATAATGAAATGAAAATTGAGTTATGTAAATTATCGATCATAATAAGAGGATGTTGGTACTTCAATGCAAATTTAGGACTACTTTAGATCATATTTCTTTATGACACATGTGGGTAATATTAATTAGAATCAATGGTTAGTTTATATTGTTTTACACAATAGCATAAATGGATAATTATTTGGAAAATAAAATAGATTCAATAACTATTATCATTATCAATGGTGATTAGGTTATACCCAATTGATGTTAAGTCTAGTGAGGATTAACATGCAGGCTCTAGTGGAGACACCTAGTTAGAATTTCTAGTATTTTTTCTAGTGTGATATGTACTTAGTTGAAACCTAGTCTTAAATCTATAGTTTATCTTTTAACTTTTAATCAAGTTGTTGCAATTTTGCACATGTTAATTAGATATTGTAGTATTATTTATCTTTTATTAAAAAATTATTTTTTATTAAAAGGGATCTATATCCTAGTAGTATTCTTTTCCACATAAGTTGAAACTCGGCTTGCATCGTAACACTAAACATGTTGAATTTGGTATATCATAGGATTACATGTGTGCAATATTATTTATATATCCTAGAGTGCATAAAATGAAATTAATAATACTGATATGAAATAGTAATATAGTAAAAATTTATAAACTTATTTAAAATAAGAACTTTTAAATTTTGTTATCATAGAGCATTAATATAAAGTGCTACCGCTACTTGAGTTGTTAAATGAACAATTTTCAATGTTTCATAAGTTGTTAAAATAAATATTTATCCTAATATATACATGTTTATTTGATATATGGTGGAACATAGCATTATAGTTATTTTATTTCATGATTCTAGAAGTATGTAATTAATTTAGATATGTAGAGTACTTTATGGTATTGATTTAGTTTTTTGTACTAATATATTATTATTTATGGGTAAATTTTAGAGATTTTTTTGTTTATTTTTTATAATGGCTAAGGTACATACAAATATCAAGGTAATACCTTATATTATCTTTCACAATGACATATTTGGATAGGTTAAATAATGTAAACTTAGGATATTACTTTGCATTATCTTTCATCATGTTAAAGGTGGATAATTTATAAAATCATTAGAGGTATTTTAAATTATGTTTCATAATGGTAGATGCGGGTAATTTAGATACAAAGTTAGGGGTTATTTGAATTATTTTCCCCTAATGGCAGATGTGGGTAATTTATATATAAATATAGGTGGTTATTTTGAATTATCTTTTGTAATAATAGAGGTGGGTAATTTACATGTAAATTTACGAGGTTACTTTATGTATTTTTCATAATGGCAGTGGTGGGTAATTTTTTTAATAAATTATAATAGATCCAATGGCTAATATCGGTGATGATGATTAGAGTCTACCAAATCAAAGGTCAGATGTTTATGATTATTGTGAGAATTTCTAGGATTTATCTTTTTTGCGGGCGCATCTAATGAGAATTTACGTAGTAGTGCCTCCGTTGGGGCCTCTAATTAGTAATAGTAAGATAAGATGCTTAAAACAAATTTAATCACCTTTTTCCGGTTGTTCCAATTTCAGTAAATGAAAGCGCACAATAGTATAATAATACATACAAAAGTGATGGTCCTTGACTAGTTATTGATTGGAAATTAACTAACCAATCAATCAGTCCGTGTGAGATCTTATCTTATTATTACTATTTAGAGGCTCCAACACATAATTTACGGTAATTCTTGCAAGGCACGCTAGAAAAAAAAGATAAATCCTAAATATTGTCACAATAATAAAAAATATGTCCTACAATTTTGTAGACTATAATCGTTATCGTCAATAATAGCCGTTACATCTATTATGTTTCATAGAAAACTACCCACCTCTGTCATTTTGAAAAATACATACAGTAAACCCCTAATTTTTTATTTAAATTACCCATCCTTACCATTATGAAAGATAATTCAAGGTAACCCCTTAACTTTGTATCCAAATTACCCACTCTGTTATTATGGATTACTCCCATGTTCCGCGATGATCATTATATAATATTTTTGAATAAGTACTTCATGATTGATAAATATATATGTTATGTTTCAGGAATCATTAAAAATATTTTCTTAATGATTAATATACTAATGATACTAAGAACTTATTAAAAAAAATTATTACCCATGATATATAATTTATATAAGCTGTTACTTTAGATATGATATATTATATTATTATACATTTTAACTAAAATATTTGACCTATGTATATTTATATTATAAACATTATAGTACAATTAATTCTTTGATAAGAAAATTCTAACACCTTGAGAAGTGGAGAGGTTAGTGCAAACCAAATGTAGTTATATCTTCCTCACCATTGAGAATCCTTCGGAGTAAATAGTTATTATTAGGACTAAACATTAATACCCACTTAAAGTTAGCAATGCTACCCCATGCTAGACCTCTCTTCAACTTCAACCCCTGATCTTAAGTAACATGGTACATGTTTTAGGCCTAAACATGAATATCATCTGGGGGTTAGTACTGCTACCAAAGCTAAGCTCTACCATCAATCTTGGGGTCCATTTGGTTGTGAGGACGGGGCGAGATGGGATGGGACAGTCCTCTGCGTGTTGTTTGGTTATAGGAGAAGAGGGACAGGGACATCCCCAAGAGGGAATATCCTCGCTAGATTTAAGGCAGCCGCTTTCCTGTAAGAACACATGGTTGATATGTGCCAATGTGTATGGACCAAATCTTAGTGGGTTAGTAGGTTTAGTATTAGCTTAGGGGAACTTTGGGACATATCCAAACGCCAATAAATAAGGTAGATGGCTAATGAGGACTAGACCTCTTGGAACCCCGAGTCACTTTTGCTTAGCTAGCCAAGTGCTTATTGCTTAGGGAGATTGGAAGTAGAGAGAGTAGATCCTCTTGCTTTAGTCTTTCATCTTTAGAGGGAGAATGGACGGTGGAGTCTAGTCCTCTTTTATATAGATGAATTCATGGTTGGCATTGAGTAAGAAATCGAGTTGAATTCATCCCCTTTGTCTCGTCTCTTTTGGTTCACTCAATTTTTATATTTTTATGATTTTCGTCACTTATTTTTGATGATTTCCAAACTGCAGCTTTGTCTGAATTTATGCACAATTCTTGAGTGGTTTTGGGTCCTTGGAACTTGGTTATACCATGGCTTGAAGCCCAGCATCATCTATCAAGTAGAGCGTTTTGAAAAGCAAAATTTCTGCATATCTTGCTTTACATTGAAGTTTTGTTTGTCAGGGGCAAGAGGTTAGTTAGCGCGTACGTCAGCTTGATGCGCAGAGGTGCAACCCACTTGTAATATGCAGACAATTCACTATGACAATTAATAAATGTATGTATAGGCATGGCTGTTTATGAGTAAAGTTACCGTTTTTATGAAGAGATCAAACGCCTGCTCAATTTCTAGGCCTTCGACATTCCACCAGTTAGTAGCTGAACAGTATGTGGCGATACTTTCTTCATTTGCAATGACAATGATACGGCTTTTATTGTGGTCATGTTTAATGGCCAAGCCATCTTTTATCGAGTCCCACTCTTCCTTGGACTGCAGACCGTCAATAACAATGAGATAAGCATGTTTTTCTAGAAGCTCACGACATTCCTGAATTGGGTCTCTGATTCTCAACAAGCTACCATGTTGGAGGCATCCCGAGTGCAAATCCAACAGTAAGCTCCATGAAAAGTCTCTCATATTGAATGGACTTGATACTTCAACCCAGCCAAACTTTACAAATTGTTTCTTCTCATCAATCACTTTCTTGGAGTAGACATGTCTGACAATATATGATTTACCAACACCAGCAATCCCGAACACGGGTTGCACTCCCGTATAGTCAGTGCCGATATACTCTATATCTGCCCAGCGGCCAACAAGTTTATTTTCCTCTAACCATTTCCTTGCATCTTCCCTCTTCATGGTCATCTCCTTGTCCTTACCCTGTAATACAAATAGCAAGTATTTTGAGCGATGATGCACTGAAATGCCATTTTAAAACGGGATGGACCTTCAATCACGGTGGCCAAAATCTTACTATTACTAATTACAGGCCTCAATGGAGGCACCATATTAATTCTCACTAGACATGTTAGAAAAAAGATAAATCATAAAAATTCTCACAATAATCACAAACATCTGGCCTTTGATTTGATACTCTAATCATCATCAACGGTAATAGCCATTGAATCTATTGTAGTTATTAAAAAATTACCCACCATTGCTATTATAAAAAATACATAAAGTAACCCCTAATTCTGCATCTAAATTATCCACCTCTGCCATTACAAAACATAGTTCAAAATAACCCCCCTATTTGTATATAAATTGCCCACATCAACCATTACGAAAAATAGTTCAAAAAAATCCCTAAATTTGCTTCTAAATTACATAGCTTGGCCATTATGAAACATAATTTAAAATAACACCTAACATTGCGTCTAAGTTACCTAGTTTTTTTGTCATTATGAAATATAATTTAAAATAATCCTCTAACTTTGTATGTAGATGACCCACATCCACCATTACGAAAAAAATTAAAATCTATCCTAACGATTTTATAAATTATCCACCTTTATCATTGTGAAGGATAATGCAAAATAATATTCTAAGTTTGCATTTAACCTATCCATGTATGTTGTTGTGAAAGATAATATAAGGTATTACCATTATATTAGTACGTACCTTAGCCATTATAAAAAATAAACAAAAAATCTCTAAAATCTACACATAAATAGTAATACATATTATTGCAAAAAATAAATCAATATGCATAAAGTATGATACATATATATATTTCTAAATTACATACTTCTATAATTGTGAAATAAAATAATAATGATGCTATGTTCCATTATGTATTTCAAATAAACATGTATACATTATAATAAATATTTATTTTAACAACTTATGAAACATGGAAAAATGTTCACTTAACAAACCACATAGAAATAACACCGTGATAATAAACTTCATAAGTTATTATTTTAAATAAGTCTATACATTTTTCTAAAACATTATGTCATATCAATATTATTAATTTAATCTTATGCACTCTATGATGTATAAATAATACTACACCCATGTTTAGTTTCGGCATGCAAGCCGAGTTTTAACTTATGTGGAAAACAAAACTACTAGAACCTAGACTCTTTTTAATAAAAAAACAATTTTCAAATAACATATAAAGAATATGTAGCACCCTAAAATTTACATTATTCCAAGAATAGCTAAATTGATTTATCTAAAGCATTTATGTGAGCATTCAAACATAGGAAAGTAATAATTTTTTATAAAACTAAAATCAAATATAAGATTAGCTACAAGTGATGCACACATGCTGCTGCATATTTATTTTTGTAATGAATGGTTTTGATTCAAAGTCCAAATGAATTCAAAATCTGATTGAAAATGAATTTGGAAAATTGTTGAAAAAAGGAAAAGAATTATTTTTTCCCTCTCCCTCCCTTCCTTGATTTTTGGCCCGTAGGCCTTCCTTCCGCTGGCCTTTTTCTTCCCGCAGCCCAGCTCGCCTCTTCCCTTGCGCCTCGCTCGGCCCAGCGCCAGCCGCCAGCCGCGCGCCTCGCTCGGCCCAACAAGCCGCGCCAGCCCAGCTTGACGCGCGCAACCACCGCCGCATCATCCTCGCGCCCGCAGCCACTGACCGCCCGGGCCCACGTGTCAGCGCCATCCCCTTCCTCCGCGCGGCTCGGCAACCGCCCGCGCGAGCGCTTGAGCACCCGCCGCCCACGCTCCTGGCATCGTGGGAGCATTCCCCCCCGCTCCTCGGCCTCGATAAAAAGAAGCCGAGCCCCCCCGCGCACTCCCCTACTCTCCCCACTCCATTTTCTCTCTCGCGTTCATGCCTCGGAGGCCACAACCGCCGCACGGAAGAGCTCCGCCGGCCACCGTCCTCACCTCCGCACGAAACGCCGTCCCCGAGTCGCGTTCGTCTCCGTTTGAAGTCGCGGTGAGCTTCGCCGTACTCCCCTCCTTCCCTCTGTGCTTTCAATTTGGTATTTCGTGGCCGTTTGGGGCCCTATTCGCGAGCGTCCGCGAGCTTTGGCCGCCGACCATGGCGCCCGCCGCCTCGGCTTCCTCCTCCGGCCGTCGTGATGGTCTGGGCGAGTTCCCCTCCTCCCCAGCTTTCTCTCGGTGCCTTCGGATTTCCGAACCATGGCCCCTAGCCCCTGAACCGCGCGCTCCGGCGAGTCCTTGCCGCTGGCCATGGCTGCGCCGCCGTGGCTGTCACTGTGCCGGCCGCCGACGCCCCTTTCTCTCTCCCTCCCATCTGTTCCGGGCCATCCGATCTTGATCCAACGGCCGTGATCAGCCGATACCCCTTCGCGGGTAGATTTGCTAAAGAGCCCTCCTGGTTTCAACTATTTGAACCCGCCTTCCCTAGCGTAGTTTTCAGAGTACGCTTTCTCATTTTGAAAATGTAAAGTCTACTGTTTTAGTTCAAAATACGTTTTCAGTATTTACAGAAATGCCATTTGAACTGTTTTGCTTATAAAATTGTCATTTTAGCTCCGAGTTGATCCATTCAAATCGCGTTAGCTTCGTAATTTCATAAGCTACATGTTGGAGCTACTGTTAGTCAAGTTTGGAACTTTTTAATTTCATGATTAGATTTAATTAAATATATGGCTATAGGAAAACCCGTTTAAATCATAACTTTCGCATTTTAGCTCCGTTTTTCGTGAACTTCGCGTTGACGTGATCATAGCGAGATGTAGATTATTTTTACAAACATTTTATCTTGTTTTCAATACTGTTGGTGTACTGTTCTAATGATAGGAATGTTTGCTTTGCATGAATGCTTTTGGAATGTTGTATGTTGCCATGTTGGTCGCGTTCAGACGGTGAGGAAAACGTTGGAGACCAAGAACTCTTCGACGACCAGCAGGACCAGCATGAGTTTGTGAACCAAGGCAAGTATAGCATGGGCCTTCCTTGATGTCCTATTTCACTTTAATCAATTACTCATTTGCATATGTCTAATTTTGATACCCGTAAGGACATCCTAGTGATTGTTTATCCTGTTCCTTGTCTCCTATGGGTTAAATGCATGTGGGTAGATTGCTAGTGCTCTAACTGAACTTGACATACATGTTGATGAATGATACTATGGAACAAAGTGAGTAACATGATTTATAATAACTGTTCCATAGGGCGAAAGTGCGAATGACCTTTGTTCATGTTGCTCCCGGCCCTCCATAAGGACTTATCTGTCGGCAAAAGCTGGGACTGACAGTGCAACCGGGAGAGTCATATGGCTCTGACTTTAGCTCAGTAATAGGACCTTTTCTAGCTAGTTAGAGGTTACCTTTTTGGCGCAAATGGGGCTTGCCACGTTGGGTATAGGGCTGCCTCTGTTCCTATGTGTATAGCCGTGATGGATATGTGCCATAGGAAAGGGGGGGTTCTTACATCTGCCTGCCAAGGAAACCTAGCGGCCCTAACTTGTTAGAGAAACCTATGAAATGGCTTCATAGTGTACCCTCCCCGCTCACCTTGGTAGTGACATGGGAGTAATTAACCCGGGCATATGGGGATCACGACTCACGGTGAATGTGCACCACCTCTGCAGAGGGTAACAAACTGTTATAACAGCCGTGCTCACGGTCACGAGCGGCCCGGAAAACTCACAGAATAAATGGCTACTTATAATGATGTTTATACGAGATGATTATGATGATATTATGATGATGTTACATGACTCAATTGGATCGGATATATGATCATGTGGGTTTTAAATTGGAGCTTAAGCATAACTTGATAATAGTTGAGGATAAAATCTTGACTTACTAAAAGTGCTAACTGCAGTAAACCAGTGTCAATCTTTTTGAGCTTCACAACCCCATGTTATCTTGTTGAGTACGGGACGTACTTACGCTTGTTTACTTTCTATATTTGGATAAAAATCTCGGATGGGTAACAGATGACAACGGATATGAGGAGTTTCCTGAGGATTATTAGGCTTGTGGTCAACCAGTCGACCGTCCCTGTGATGGAGTTCCATGAGAGAGTTATCTTTTTATCTTCCGCTGTGTTATGTAAGACAATGTGATGCTATTATTCGTTATGTAAGATACACCGTGATGATACTTTTTATAATTTATCAACTTATGTGTGTGACTGATCCCTGGGCACACATGAGTTTAGTGCATTCAATTTTATCCTTAAAATTGGATGTGACAAATTGGTATCAAAGCTGTGTTGACTGTAGGACGCAAGCCTAGTAGAAACTGGTCGTTTTAAGGTTTATAAGTTGCTTCAAAAACCCTTACTCTATGAACCTTGATATTTTCTTCAATACTATATCTCTACCTTTGCTATTCATCTCTACCTTGGTGCTTATTTTAAAATCTTTGTTCTCATCTCCACTCCTTGATTTGACATGCTTTTAGAACTATTCCTCATCACCTTCTTGCGTGATCTGAACAAGAGTCTTAGGATTGTTATCCCTAGTATAATAAGGACGATAGTATCGCAAGTTGAGTCAATGATTGAGTTGTGCATCTTTATTGATTGTTGAATTGTCATCAAGTTTATGATTGTTTTGAATTTTTGTAATGATTGCAATGATCTTGTTGGGTGTTCCCACAATTTCATTTAGTTATAGGCCTAAGGTATAAGGATTAATGAAATAAATAGTCGGGTTTTGGTTTTCTTCTATTTTTCCTATCCTGTCTTTTTAGAGTAGCCTGCACTCTTTGGCATATATCTCTATTTTTGGATGACCAAAAATCATGAGAAAATTTTGGACAATAGTAGACTTCAACATCTTTCTCTGAGCGAAAGAATTACCTTGATAGCTATTTTGGTTATGGAGATACGAAAATCACAAGGCGATGCATCTGTGCTATTTGGAATCTGGAATAGTTTCTGTTGTGTACTATTTTCGACCAAGTGAACTGCAGAAT